AAGGTTCAAGATGCAATTCTGAGGGTGAGGCAGGAGAATTGCTTGAACCCCGGAGGCGGAGGTTGCAGTGAGCCAAGATTGTACCATTGCACTCCAGCCTGGGCAAGAAGAGTGAAACTCCATCTCAAAATAAGATGCAATTCTGTTGAGCAAGGTAATACAGTGACTTAGTGCCACACCAAGATTTAAGTCAAAGCTTTTCCAAGAGCAAGTTTGACGTAAAGAAAATGGAAAACATGCAGGAATAGGGGGAATTAGCATGGGGAAAGGCGAGTGAGCATGGACTCGTAAAGGAGACAAGGGTTGGCTTTTTCTGTCAATACCACATCAAATACCGGCTCTTGTTTAACCGATTCACATATTTCAGATAGCACTGACTTTTATTTATTTATTTATTTATTTATTTATTTATTTATTTATTTATTGAGATAGAGTCTTGCTGCTTTGCCCAGGCTGGAGTGCAGTGATCGCAGCTCACTGCAACCTCTGCCTTAGCCTCCTGAATAGCTGGAATTACAGGTGTGTACCACCGCACACAGCTAATTTTTGTATTTTTAGTGCAGACCGGGTTTCACCATGTTGGCCAGGCTGGTCTCGAACTCCTGACCTCAAGTGATCCACCCGCCTTGGCCTCCCAAAGTGCTGGGATTACAGGCGTGAGCTACTATGCCCGCTGACTGGAGCTGGACATTTAAATATGAGTCAGACACATTCCCTGGGGAATTCAAAACCTAGCCAGCTGAACAAGACACAGGAGCCTCGTGGTCCGAAGACTGTACTCTTGAGTCATGTCCAGTTACTGGCCTGGTTTGAAATGTCCTTTCTTTTATGAAGTGATGGTGGTGGGAGATGGAAGCAGCTTATATTTTTTCTAACCTCTTCTTTTGCAAAGTAAGAAAATCTGGCAGCCCTATGTTGGTTTAACAGATTTATTAAAATGTTACTTGTTTTTGAAATCCCTCATCCGTCAATCCCAGAATCTAACCCTAGAGGAAAAACAAGATAGTTATTAGGATGCAAAGGTTATTGCTCCAACATGATTTCCATGTGTATTAAAATGGATGAAACAAGCGCGATTGGAGAAGTTAGGATTAGCCTAGGATAGCGAGGCCTCAAGGGAGAACTGGCGTCTGTAACTCTGTCAGGCCCGGGGTTCAGAAAGCTGGAACGGAGGCTTTGGCTAAAGGTGTTTTATTCCTGATAAGTCTGGAAGGGATTCTTGGCCTGAGGCCCTGGGGCCTCGCTCACAAGGCAGTTTTTATCTGTAGCTTTCTGTAATTTGAAAGAATAAATATAAAAGAAACAGCTGATTTCGGCTTTGGTCTCATCTGTTTCTGGGAACCCGTGAAGGTGGGCACCCGCTCTGGGTGTCGGTTTCTGCATCAGTCACATCCTAGCAAGCGATAACACTTACCTAGTGCTTACTAAGTGCCAGGTACTATTTTGAGAACTTGGGATATCTACTTATTTAATCCCAAAACCGTTATGAGAATAGATTCTGTTAATTTTCTCATAAAAGTAATTTGCCTAAAGTCTCACACAGTGGTCGGGGGTGGGGCCAGAATCTGAATTTCTGTCTGCCTGTTGTCAAGCTCACACCATTTCTTTTTACATGATTTATTTTTGCATATTCTATTTTAAATCAAATTATTAAATTCTATCACTATGGTGATGCAGGAATAACTTGTCCATTTTTTTTTACAACAGAGAAATTTCTAATGTGACACTGAGCAGAACTGTGGTATTCTCCAGGGCCTATCTTTGTGCAATAAATAGTGAAATATTGAAAAAGGATGATAAAATGCATATTCCACAATAACTTCAAATATAGAGCTGTATGAATTTTAATGTTATTATGAACTGCTTTAGAAATCCAGTTGCTAGTATTTTCCTGGTATATTCTTCCCACCTCTAAAGCACTGTTAATTAACATATAATTCTGTTGTGTCTTTTATTTTTGAAACAGGGTCTTGCCGTGTTGCCCAGGCTGCAGTATGTGGCAAAATTATAGCTCATTACAGCCTCAAACTCCTGGGCTCAAGGGATCCTCCCACTTCAGCCTCCTGAGTAGCTGGGACCATAGGTGTGCACCATCATGCCAGCTTCTGTTGTGCCTTGAGTGACTGATTAATGATTGAAATATTGCAGAAAGAGTGGGAGTAAGAGGAAAAGATAAAAGGCCTTTTCAGCACCCGCAGTCCTCTTAAGGCTGTTCAGACTATATTGGATTTCCACTGAGAACCTTTCCAACTCCCACACCCAGACGTAAAGCAACCAGATAACGTGAGAGCAACCACAGAAGCGTATTCACAAATGTAAACTAAAGGGCAGGGCCAATTTCAAAATGTTATTTAAGGAAAGTCTTAAAAAGCTTGCCATGCATGGCAGGAAATCGACATTTTTAATTTTTTAATTTTTATTTTTTTGAGATGGAGTCTTACTCTGTTGCTCAGGCTGGAATGAAGGTGCATTCATCTTGGCTCACTGAAACCTCTGCCTCCCAGGTTAAAGCAATTCTCCTACCTCAGCATTCAGCTGGGATTACAGGTGCCCACCACCATGCCTGGCTAATTTTTGTATTTTTAGTAGAGATAGGGTTTCACCTTGTTGGCCAGGCTGGTCTCAAAGTCCTAACCTCAGGCGATTCACCCGCCTCGGCCTCCCAAAGTGCTGGGATTACAGGTGTGAGCCACAGTGCCCGGCCAGGACATTTTATATCCTTTTTTCATTAATTAAAAATTTTTGTGAGTAAATATTTTCTTTAGCTTATACAATGGAGGTGGCTAACCCTTTCTATGGTCCTTTGAGGGTGTTTGCAGCAGGCGTGTGCTCCATTTTTGATGCTTTACTATACTTTGCCTTGCCAAGTGCACTCATCACATGCCAGCGGACCGAGTGTGGGATGTCCTGTCCTTGGACAAGGTAAGAAAGAGGTTAAGTACAACGTTACTAGGACCATCAGCTCTCCTTCTGGGCCTCTCCAGAGTCTGGCCTGGATAACCCCTGCCCTCTGCTGGGTGTGCTGTGAAACTCCTCCTTGCCTGAAACAACGTTCTCGGGCCAGGGCCTTCTTTCTGCAGGTGCTCCAGGGTCTTCTCCTCTCTGCAGGTGCTCCAGGGCCTTCTCTCTGCAGATGCTCCTAGTGCTCTGGATTCCCAGGGTGTGCATACCATTAGTAGCTGATGACAGGCACACTGGGGCCATCTGCCTCTCTTCCAAGCTCCAGGATCAGACAACAGACTGACTGCTCCATGTCTCCACATGGATCTCCGTTTGGCATCTCAAACTCAGCATCTCCAAATCAGAGCTGGATCTCTTTCCTAAGTCTCCCAGATGTCCCCACTGCAGTAAATGGCACTGTGGTTCACCCTGTTCCCTCCTGAACCCCTTTCCTCCACCTCCCTCATTAAGTCCACCAGCTGGTTCTGCCCCTTTATCTTCCAGCACTCACCTGCATGGCCACTCTGACCTGACCCAAGGCACCCCACAGGGTCTCTGCCTTCTGCATTCTGTTCTCCTGACAACCTCAGCTTGGAGCTGATGGCTGCTAGCACAGTTGAAAGAAAACCCAAGCTCCTTGCTGTGGTCCTCAGCCCTGGGGGTGTCTGGCCCCATCAACCTCTCTCACTTCTTTATGGCCACTCTACCTTTCCCCACCCATGCTCAGTGCCTTCTCCTCCTCCTCCCGCTCTTGCCACGGGACCCTTGGGATCTCACTCTCTGGGCTTCACTGGGTGCTCCAGGCCCATCCCACGGGGGACGGTGACTGGATGCAGAACCTAGTGAGCAGGAGCTTGGGCCGACACAACCACTTGCTCCTGGAAATCAACATCCACAACGCAGCTCCACTCACTGGTTCCAAATACTGCAAACTCCCAGATTTTATGCTATGGAATCTCTTCCATGTGTATACATTTTTAGAGTTTACAGATTTAAAATGTAAAATTGTTCATTTCTTGCTATCCACAGAGTTACATAAAACAACTAGTCAAATACAGTTTTTAATTATCAAAACAGCAAACATATCTAGAACTTCTTAATAATTTAATATTGTTCTAGGGACCATTATTTTCTAATAGTAGTAGGCTATATCAGACAAAGCAAAACACAACACAATAGAAAATAAGTGTTTCAGGAAAAAACAATGAGCCAGCCCTGGCACGAGTGTCCTTTTTCCTTTTTTAACTACATTTTTCATCAAATATTTACTTATTACATTCATTGTCATCCATTTTCAAGGTTCTGGTATACTTCTTCCTCTTCTTTTTTTTTTTTGAAACACAGTCTCTCTCCATGGCCCAGGCTGGAGTGCAGCAGCACAATCTCGGCTCACTGTAACCTCTGCATCCCAGGTTCAAGCAATTCTCCTGCCTCAGCCTCCCAAGTAGCTGGGACTACAGGTGCCTGCCACTACACCTGGCTAATTTTTGTATTTTTAGTAGAGACAGAGTTTCACCATATTGGCCGGGCTGGTCTCAAACTCCTGACCTCAGGTGATTCACCCACCTTGGCCTCCCAAAGTGCTGGGATTGCAGGCACGAGTCATCGAGCCTGGCCTTCTGGCATACTTCTAATGTGTACGGAATGATCACATTACTTCAAGTAAGAGCCTGTCCTTGATCACAAGATTTGTGTTACTTTAACATTTAATTTGAGGCTCCTGCTCCAAAATCAAAACATAACAATAACGATGTCAGTACACTTTAACTTACCAATACGCATGTAGCTGTACATAAAAGTCAAAAAATGAAGAGAACAGAAGACAACAATCAGGACAAAATGAACGAAACCTTCTGGTTCTCAGAAACATTGATTCTTACTGGATTTTCAATTTTCCATCTACTAAACGTGTCTCATTTTAAAAGTTGATTTCTGTCACAAAAGGTTAATGATTCATTTTTTGCACTCAGGAAACTTCAGAAGTACTGAGAAGGCAGCATAGTCATGCATGCAATCATATTCTTCAAAGGGCCCTGTGGCTTGTACAGGACACAACTTACTATTGTGCACAGTCGATCAGCTGGTACTCGTTGGATCTCTCAAAGCATGCCTTCACGCCTTCATCGTCCCAAAGCTTTTTCACATGATCAAAGAATTCCTAAAGTTTGAAAGAGTTACAAATTTTTTGAAAAATGTGTAATAACCTTTTAAAAAGTTAAAAGAAAAAAATGCAAAAAATGGTTTTTTGTGCAAGTAGCATTCAGATTTTCTTTGTGGAAGTCTACATAGTAAAATGCACCAGCCCTATGTTTAGTATGATGAAAAACGTATTCATGCATGTTATCATTACTCAAGTCAAATTGTAAATTTTTTCTTTTTTTTTTTTGGGATGGAGTCTCACTCTGTCGCCCAGGCTGGAGTGCAGTGGCACAATCTCTGCTCACCACAACCTCCGCTTTCCAGGTTTAATCAATTTTCCTGCCTCAGCCTCCCGAGTAGCTGGGATTATAGGTGCCTGTCACCATGCCCGGCTGATTTTTGTATTTTTTTTTTTTTTGTTGTTGTTAGTAGAGATGGGGTTTCACCATGTTGGCCAGGATGGTCTTGAATTCCTGACCTCAAGTGATCCACCTGCCTCGGCCTCTCAAAGTGCTGGGATTACTGGCGTGAGTCACTGTGCCTGGCCCAAAATAGTTTTATCATTCCAGAAAGTCCCCCAAAATGCAAATTATGTCAAAGTTAATATCATACATTAACTATAAATATAATTAACAGCATAATGCTATTTAGTATTCAGTAACTTAACTCATTGAACCATCATCTCAGCCATAAAAAACATTCATATTATAATGGCAAGTTCTGTTTTAGCTTCTGTCTTTTACATTTTCTATGTGAGTTATGATTAGGAATGGACATGGTTGAGTAGTTGGATTAAATTTGGCCCAGACATATGAGGTGCATAAAAAAGGAACTTTAAAAATTACACATTTTGGGAATAATTATTTATTTTTTCATTAAAAAAGACAACAACTAGGAGTTAACTGTGAATTGCGATTTTTCATTCGTTCCAGAGCCACGAGGTCACTGTGCTCAACTTCACCTATTATTATAGCAAGCAAGACACTCTGAAAAGAACATTTTTCACCTCAAAAGCAAATGAAGAGCTTATGAATTCATATTGGCAAAATTACCCAAAAGGGCTTTGGAAGCAAATGACTACATTAGTAGCTAAACACAAAAGAGGTTATGTAAATGTTCAAAAAACACTCTGTGGGGACATTCACAACCTTCCCACGCCAGTTATTTGCCTGCCTTTGATCGTCAGGGTTCTGAGGCTCCGTGGCCTGTCCCAGGCATCTCCTCCTTCATGCTTATCACAACTGCCACATTTCTTTCTTTTCTTTTTTATTTCTGTTGCCCAGGCTAGAGTGCAGTGGTGTGATCTCAGCTCATTGCAACCTCTGCCTCCCGGGTTCAAGCGATTCTCCTGCCTCAACCTCCCGAGTAGCTGGAATTACAGGTGCCCACCACTGCGCCCAGCTAATTTTTGTACTTTTAGAAGAGACAGCGTTTCACCATCTTGTCCAGGCTGGTCTCGAACTCCTGACCTTGTGATCCACCCACCTCAGCCTCCCAAAGTGTAGGGATTACAGGTGTGAGCCACTGCTCCTGGCAGCCACATTTCTAAGAATCAACATAGATTCTTTGGAGGAAACAAAGAAGGATTGGTACTTTTTCTTAAGGACTCAGAATTCCATACAAAGGTGGATCCAAGCACTGTAAGGTTTAATGCTTGCAATTTGGAAGGTCCTCTTTGAAAAAAGAGATGCACAATGATGAATACAAAATTAGGTATAAATCATTGGAAGGGGAGTAGAAGTGAAGCACCCAGAGTACAGGTTTATTAGTGTTTAGAAAATATAATTCTGATTTCATAGTGTCAGGGACAATCTTGTAGGTTATGGCATAGTCTATATCTATATCTGTCTGTCACCATTGTCAACAAACCCAAATGGTTCCCAGTTGATAAACAAAAGAGACATCTTTCCCCGGAAGGGGGCGGCTAAACCTCTCAGTTTTCATCTTGTTTCCCTAGGTTTACATTTCCTTCTAGAATCTTCCTCTGATGCTCCCATTAATCCAGTAAAGGAGTTTATAGGCTTCCTTAAAAAAATTTCCTTCAAAGAGCCATCCAAACCCATATTCACACACACTTCACACACACACGTGTAAAGATCAGTCCTGCATTGTGCTGTTATCAAGATGGCGGCGAAGAGAGTAACTCCACTGCCTCATGGTGACAGATCTTCCAGTTGCCAGCTCTGGGCACCTGATTTCTCTACACAAGACAGACAAATGATATACAAAACTATAGACTCATGCTACATGAAAACAAATTTAACTGGATTTACTCAGACACAGGAACCATAGACACCAGACTTTTATAAAAGTTCACATAAGAATTATTCACTATAACAGGTTTCCAAATGCAATTAAAAAAAACGACCAAGACTGGAGAATCAATCTAAACTTGGTCAAAAAAAGAAAAATATTGAACCCCATTGTCTAGTTTCTAAGGTGTAGGAAAGGCTGTGACAAGAAGAGAGCAGGGAAGGCGTGCAGCCCGTGCGCACCGGCCCATTAATCCAGGAAGGGTCTCGGGTTGCTCCAGGACCTGCAGAGCGGAAAGGGCTCCAAATTGCGTGGGATACGGTCGTATGGTCACCCGACTACCCAACCAGCCATGGAAGTAAGCCCACAAGTGCTGACCCCAGAGCTAACAGGCATGTGGCTAGAGGTCAGTGAGGGGGTTGAAAACTGATCTTTTTTTATTTTTATTTTTAGTTTTTGAGACGGAGTCGCACTCTGCCCCGTCGGGCAGGCTGGAGTGCAGTGGTGCAGCCTCGGTTCACCGCTGCCTCACCCTCCCGGGCTCAAGCAATCCTCCTGCCTCAGCCTCCCAAGTAGCTGGGACTGTAAGTGCGTGCCACCACGCCCTGCTAATTTTTGTATTTTCCTGGAGACGGGGTTTTACCCATGTTGCCCAAGCTGGTCTCCAAGTCCTGGGCTCAAGCTATTCTCTGCCCTCAGGCTCCTGAGTAGCGGGGATTACAAGTGTGCACCACAATACCCAACTATTTTTTTTTGGTTTAGAGATTTGGCAGGGGAGCGGGGGAGATGGTGGTTCTCACAATGTTGCCCAGGCTGGTTTCGAGCTCCAGGCTCAAGTGATCCCATAGGCGCGCCCAACACGCCCCGCCTGAGAAGCCCCACCTTGAGTAGAAGCCCGAAGCTGGGCTGCGGAAAGCCGGGCATGCTGAGCCCCTGGGCCTCTCCGGAGCCGCCCTCGCCCTGCGCCTGCAGCGCCACACTCATCCACCGCTCCGCAGGCACATGGCCTCTTGGCAGGCAGAGGAGAAACTGAGGTTCCCATCAGACGCCCTTGCTTTTCGACTCACTTAGCACCCATGAAACGGAGGCCTGTGGAGGGGCGGCCATGGCCTGGGCGTATTCTGGCCACTGGACCACGCTGGATGCCGGGCTGGCCTCGCCAGAGGATGGATGTGCGCCGCAGGGGGGCGGGAGGCCTTTATGCTTCAGCCCACGGTGATCTGGAAAGGGAAGGCATTCCAGCTCCGAAGCATTTACTGGGGCCTCTGCTCAGGGACCTTCCCGCTCCCGCCTGCAGAAACAGCAGCATCACCGCCCACTTGTCTCTGCAAACAGCGCACCCCCGCAGCTCCCCGGCTTGGAGGCCCTGCCCAGCGGGGCTGGGATTCTCAGCGCCCCCAGGCCTCAGCTCATTCCTTCAGGCTTCGGCTCCTGCTGTTTTCTCCTGTCCTTCGCAATACCTTTTCTCATTTTGTGTTAATTTCCTGCATGTCACAGTAAGGGTCTTACTCACATAATAATCCCTATTTAGTTCTTACGCAGTTCTTATTTTGTCGAGGGTACCGTGCACAGTATTTAAACACATGGTCGCATTTAATTCTCACAAAGCTGGAAGAGGTGGCTGTTATCACTGTGCTCAGAGAAGTTAAGTAACCCACCCAAGGCAGCAAAGCAGCTAATGGCAGGACATCTTATTTTACAGCATGTGTTTTTAACCACTATGCATACTACCACCCTTTATTACACATATTAAATCATCTTCTATTCTTTAATTTTCTACTGGGTTTCTTTAAAACCACTATTTTAGAAGATCCACTCTTTACAGGATAAAGTACAGGGGATCTCGTACAAGGGTACCTTGTTAAAGCAACACAAGACACTAATGAGGATTCCCGCAGGTCTGTAAAGCTCAGAAACTTCTGTGGTCCTTCCACAATTCAAAAATACATTGCAAAGATGCCAAGTGTAAATTTAGCTCATAGGATAAGCCTTAATGTCCTGTGGTTGGGTTAGATTCACTAGTGGGGACCGAAACTTCTTTATGGGGACAAAACTCTAGGTTTGAGCTGAAGCCTGAGACAGAATTACAGAGAAGTGCTTGACCCAAGAATCAAGACACAGAATTTCTGGAGCATGTGTTGATATCAAGAGTAAAAAAGGGATTGTAGGCACAGTGGTTTTTAGGTACCTAGATGTTTTAGATAACATTGAAGAAACAGAAAAGCAACAACAATCTCTCTTCACTTCAACTTCCTCATGGGTAAATATGTTGGACTGGCATACAGCCAAGTCCCCATGATTCTTCCACATATTTACTTTTTTTTTTTTTCTTTAGGATGAGCCTTGCTGTTGTTGTCCAGGCTGCAGTGTAATGACACGATCTCGGCTCACTGCAACCACTGCCTCCTGGGTTCAAGCGATTCTCCCCATTCAGCCTCCTGAGTAACTGGGATTACAGACATGCACCACCACGCCCAGCTAATTTTTGTATTTTTAGTAGAGGCGGGGTTTTGCCATGTTGGCCAGGCTGGTCTCAAACTCCAGACCTCAGGTGATCCACCCGCCTCGGACTCCCAAAGTGCTGGGATTGCAGGCATGAGCCACTGTGTCTGGCCCACATATTTACTTTTTAAAGGGTTCTAAACACTTCATGGTGAATTCCATGGCTGCTGTTGTGATTGCTACTTCCATGTTTTACAAGGAAAATTTTCAAACTTATAAAAGTAGAGAGAATGAACCTTCAGGTACCCATTACTCAGGTCCTAC